TTTGATGAAGGTGTTTTTGTAACTAGGGGCGAAATAGTAGTAAGCTTAAGTTAGCACCACCATAAAAATTAATTTTGGTTGCAAGTATGAAGGTCGCAACCCGCCTTAGAAATCTCACCTTTACAATTAACAGCTGTTATTTGACAGGTCGTTGGAGAATGCAATGTATGGAATGTTAAGAATGTTAGGAATGTTAGACGTTAGGAATGCTTGGAATTTGTAAAATTATTTACATAAGAAATGCATAGACAGATTTTAGGAAAATTGATATTAAAGTAGTTAGGATGAACCGAAAATTCTGAAAATCAATAGGGTTCTAAGTTAGAAGTAAGTATTCAAGAAAATCAAAACCGCAAGTCAATCAGAACTTTCGTTCTAGAGTTATCGTGCCGGCGTTCATACGCACAGACGACCAGACGAATTTTTTTTTGCATTTTTGGAAACGTGAAAAAAGTTTTAAAAAATGGGGGTAAGAAAATTTTTTCGTCTGCACGAATGCAATACTGAGGCCCCATAGGAAGAGCTTCAGTAATTTACAGGAAATTCATGTTTTGGACATATTATATTTTTTAGTTATTGAGATAAAATTATAGTACCATAAATTTATTTTTATTTTCGGTAACTGTATCTAAATTGAGCTCACCAAAATGAAATAATATAACGTAATAGTTAGGTATGTTGGTATCTCTCCTTTTTAGATGAAACTCTTCCTATTATGTGAAATTTTCTAATAAATGAATACTTTGAGAGTTTGAAGTTTTTCATACGATGCAACAAATTCTCATGAGTCAAGAAACTATTTTCACAAAATATTACACATTTTGGATTATTCAGCAAGACAGCTGTTTGTGATTCATTGTCAGATTCATGTTATTTTCGCTTTACTTAATTGTTTTTTACTAACAATACTTAATATTCATAAATTCTACAACTTTAGGAAATTATCTGGGGTTAACCAAACAAAATTAATTGTTTAAAAAGTAATGATTAGTAAATAATACAGGAAGTAATGATTATTATAATTTTCCAACCAGAATGTAGCTGGTCTAATTTTGATATCTACTGGATGTTCAAATTAAAGTATTACAGTTAAATAGCGCCGAAAATATGCATTGTGTAAAAAAAGTTTCAGACAAAAGTTTTATAGTTTTTTGGGGAAAATATTTTGGCTAAATTCATTTTTTTATAGCTGACCATAATATGGCTATATCGAGGTAAACTTTTGTTTTTCAAATTGGAATCCCATTTTTTACATATCCTTAAAGTTCATAAAAAAATAAGTAACTTTTAAAGGAAACATTTTTTTATTGGACTTTTACTTATTGAGTAACACCTACTTGAAAATTTTGCTGTGCGAAAAAAAAGTTGGCCATATTATGGTTAACTATAAAAAACGATTTTAGCCAAAATGTTTTCCGCAAAAAACTATAAAACTTTCGTCTGAAACGTTTTTTTATAAAAGGCGGTATTTAACTGTTACACTTTAATTTGAACACCCGTTATAGCGCAACTTGATTTTTTTAATATTGTAAATATAGGACAGTATGTCTTAACCTTTTTAATTAAGATTGGCCTCTTTCATAACTCATAAAGATATCCACGCCTTACCTGCTATAATTTGGGTTATATACAGGGTGCCTCGTTATATTTGGACTGTTATGAGTTTTTTGCAATTATTTGAAATATATAAAAACAAAAACCTATTACATATGTTACATTTTAAAAAAGGAAAAGAAGAGACTCTATGAATATTTACAATTTGTAAGATGTTTAATTTAAAATCGCATAGTTGACGTATATCCGAGAATACGGTATATCATTTCCGGTTAAACGGGAAGTGAGTTAAAAAAACAGATACAAAAAACATTTAAAAAAATTAGAAAAAGACTGATGAAAACGAATTTCAAATTCTAAACTCGTTTAAAAATTATACAGTTTTGAAAAGGATCAATTAAAAGAGTCTTCAACCATACCTGTTCACCTGTATCCAACGTGATCAGGTAAAACAAGAAATTTAATGAAACTATCCGTCTTAGTGCCTTTTATGACAACTAAAGTATGAGGTATGTCATATAGGGCAACATCATTGGTTAGAGTTACTACTGAAGTTAATGTTATTTTTGGCAAACTGATGAGATCACATCATTTAGTCACGGAGGATACTGGTATTGATTTGTTGAAGACTTTGTATAACGTAAATATAGAAAAAATCAAATGCCTTTTATCTACCAGAACATGCTACACATTTTAACAGAGATCCTTACTAAGCATTTCCAACCCAAAGGACACCTTAGTAAACGGAGAATAGTAGAAGATAGTGAGTGCAAATTCTATGAGGAGGAGGATGACACCTCTATTCATATTCTAAAAGGGTAGAATCCCAGAATCCTAGAATCCAAGGGCCCTACACTTAAGAGCATACCAAATAGAAGAGTGTGATTTACCTAACTTTACATAGGATGTTCTTGCTGCATTAGCGACAGAAGGAAGCACAACAGATTTTTGCAGTCTATTAATACATCATTTCCAACATAATATAAGTTAGGCATTCCAACGACCTATCAAAATGCTGCCAGTGGGATCTGAGAGTTTAGATATGTGCCTGTTTTGGGGTGCTTCCCCAAAAGTTGATATGTTGTTCCCGAATCCAGTCATTTATAAAACCCCGGACTGTACTTTTTGGTACTCCTGGGTTTCTGTCTGGTTCCGGTGTTTCTTCTGACCCTCTTTTTGCAAGTTCGTCAGCCTTTTCGTTGCCTTCGATCCCTTTGTGACCTGGCACCCAAAATAGTTTTACTCTTCGGTCTGCCAGTGTTCTTAGTTCTTCGATGCATTCCTATACCAGCCTCGACGTAACTTTCTGACTCGATATGGCCTTAAGTGCCGCTTGGCTGTCTGACATTATTTGAATATGCTGATTTTCGACAGCTCTCATTGTTCGTTTTTGCACATTGCAAAATTGCGTATACCTCGGCCTGAAATACCGAGGAATGTATTCCTATAGCATAGCTATGGTTAGTATCAGGGTTTTTGGAGAATACTCCTGTCCCAGTGCCTTCCGCAGTCTTAGACCCGTCTGTATACCAGGTTTGTTCCTGTCGTTGGGCATTGCGCTCCCTTATGGTGATCTCCGCTCTTTCCTGTATTAAAACCTCAAACGGAGTATTAAAAAAGTACCTCTTGGTTATATGGTCTGATCTCATGTCTAGCACGTCTCCTGTCACTAACCTTGAGATACTCATGTGACCTGGCCTAATGTCAAGATTTCCCAGTGTATTCCCTAATCTGTAAGCACCTAATCTTGCCTCCCCTTGTATCACATAGTGGGAGTCCTATTAGTGCTTCCATTGCAGCAGTGGGGGTTGTTTTGAGTAATAGGTACACATAATCAAAATAATTATCAATATTTGTGGAAATTTTCATCACATACAACAAAATTATACAAAATAATAGAATAGTGATTACTGTTTTTAAAGGAGTAAACAATCACTATACAATTTAGAGACTTTTCTTCCCTTTAATGACAATGGGCGCTAGTTCATCAGTCACACACAAAATAAAAGCAATTTAAAGTTAAAAAAAAAAAACAGATAAAACAAATATACCTCCTACAAAAACTAGTAATTTTCAATAATAAATATGCAATTTAAACACGAAATATACTTTTCTTGACATATGTACAGTCGGCGCAACTCAAAAAATGTAAACGGTTTTTAGTTGTTATGGGATTGTTTTACTGAAATTTATTTCTGTATGGACAGTGGTGTTACAAAGAAAGGGAAAACTATTGAGAACAAAAACATGTTCTTTATTAATGCCGTTTTGTCTTATCTACATTTTTTAAGTTTTACACCCTTCGGATTCCCCGTGCTACCCCCCTGATGCGTCTGTAGCCTGGCAAACTGCTTATTAGTCCACCACTTGAGGGTCCTACTACTACTTTCCCATTCACTAATTCACTCATTCATTCCACGTCGTCAATGGTCCCATAGTGACACGGTCCATGGTGGAACGTCCCAGCGATCATGTATCCACGAGGTGACCGAAGATCACTGCTTAACTGTTGCGAGAATGTGGATGCACACTCATCTCGCAGATTATCTACATTAAATATACAATAAAAAAAATAAAAGAATATAAAATTACAAAAACAGTTTATTTGTTACAAATTTAAATTAAGTACCATCTAGGTATATTAAACTACAAAAAGCGTTTATTTATGATTAGTAAAAAATCAAAGGCTATAGCAAAAATAAATCAAATTAGCATTTAAATATATAAAACTAGAAAAAACATTTATTACAAGAGAAAATCAAAGTAAAGGCAAAATTGGCGAAAATTGGTGTTTAAGTGAAATGGGCTGAATTAATAATAAAAGTTGCATATTTTATGTTATGAAACAAAGAACAACAAAGATTGCGAAGAGCTTTCAGTGAAGGTATAGGGAAGGTATATAATGAAAAAGAAGAAAATGCTCTCCTCGAAATTGAACAGCTTATTTTATTACAGAGCTATTGGCTACCACAACACTTTCAATCTTTTTGGCATGGACAAAATTAAATTTCGCATGTCGTAGGATTTACGACCTCTTCCCAAGCATTTTCAACAACTTCGCACTCTACTTAAAGACCAATTTTATTCCAATTTTGCTATATCCCTCGAATTTTAAATCGCAGGTAAATACCGCGGCTCTTTGAAAGTTTATTGGACAATAATTCTTAAGAGCTGTCAAATATTTGAATGCGATAAACGACTACGATGAAAAGTGTAAATCACACCATTAAATTTTGTTTTTCACATTTCGGTTTCATCAACTCTACTGATTCGAAAAAAAAAAAATTGAAAAATATTTGTTTTTTGGTATTTCCATTTCAATTTACGTTATTTGAATATAAGGTTTTTCCGTTATTCCTAGTAATAATAATAATAATAATATGAAAATAAGATAATTGCCTTGTCTAGACTACTAGGAATCGTATTTTTGAATTACCTTGGTACTATTTAAATTAATAGACACAATAAATTTAAATATCGTTGATACCTACCAAGCTAACGGATATTTAATTACTATGCCTATTTGTCATAGGTAGTTGAAAACTTTTAATGAAGTGTACTGTAATGTAAAGAAAGAGGTAAGAATAGAATATATTATAATAGAATTACAACATTGTAAGCAACGTTTAAATTCAAATAACAGTGTTTTTTTTTACTACTAACATGAGAAATCACCATTATTTACTCCATTCCTCTAATGAGAAGTAATATTTCTCTCCCTAGGTAAATAATGATAATAAAAAAAAACCTAGGTAAATAATGAAACTAAATTTCATTAGTTTCATTTTGTTAATTTGACAACTAAACTCCCAGACTACTTGATATTTTGAAATATTTGAAAAATAAGTAGGAAATAACTAAAGCTAGGTTTATTAAAATCTAATCAAATCAAATATGATAATATATATGTGTTAATAGTAAAAATATATATTAACTAGGAAATTCAACACCGGTAATAGGCTTCAAAAATTCAAAAATTTGACACATGCCAAATTTTTACATAAATAAAGCCAGTCTGATTAGAAACACGCTCCAGTCTGCTTGATATTTCGAAATATTTAACAAATTGTTAGGAAATTACTTATGTCAAAATTAAAATTGCTAATACATTAATGTTAGTAGTAAAAAAAATTCTATATATACCTCGGCTGAGAAAGCTATTATTTACCTCGCACATTATATCCCTCGGCGCTACGCGCCTCAGGATATAAAAGTGCTCGGTAAATAATAGCTCACTTCTCACCCTAGGTATATAATGTACTATTTAAATACCTATACGTTTTGCATTCAAAATAATATTGCAATTGAGTTTATCCTGATAATTTTATGTAATAGTTTATATAGTATTAATAAAAAGGAAAGAGATACTAACTTTTTGACAACTTCCGTAAATTAATAGCAAATTATCAGTGCTGGTATTTTAGACTAGTAGACTAAAATTATTATTATTATTATTAATTTTGTTAATTAACAAAAAATTTGGAAACCTCTACATATTTGAATTTGTTTTGAATTATTATCAAATTATTTTAAAATATTTTTTTCGTATGTAAATTTTAAATTATAGTTATTTATTATATAAAGGAAAAAGTAATAGATTTTAGCTCGAGAGCTAAAATCTAATATTTTTTTCACAATTTTTTTCTGTGACGGGAAAAACGATGATTTAACATTGAAAAAAATATTCAAAAATATCTACCTTTACTTATGTGTATACGGTGTGTCAGAAATTGGTGATGTATGTATTGCGATCTTCGAGCATATATATTTCATAGAGTCCGCATTCAACAGAGTTTGTTTGGGTTATGAGGGGTAATAGGTAGACACTATTTTCAGTGTCGCATCATTTTTACGGGGTTTGCAATTAATATAAATAATAAATTTGATATATACCTTTAAAATTCTTTAAATTATTCACATATTTTATAAACTTGCATTATTTAATTAGGTATCTAGTAATAGTAAATTATTATTATTATTTATTATTGTGTGAACACATCAGATTTATTTAATTAAAACATCAGAAAGTGTAATACGAAAAAATGAAGGTTGAAATAATAGGCAATAAAAAAGATAAAGAGCTTATATTTAAAAATCAAAAATATAAATAAATATTAGGTATAATATAGAAATATTTATGATATCTATTAACACACGTGTACGAGAATTAGAATAAAATAATTTTTTCCAATAATTTATTAAACATAAAAATATTGTTCGTAAATGTTCAATAGATTACTAAACGATATACTACAAATAGAAATCATGCTAATACTTAGGTACATTTGCACTGTCAGTCGTTAACAAATAAGTGAAGCTTAATTTTTATCGGTAAACTGTCTTAAGCTTCGATTATTTCTTAATGACTAGGAGTACAAATAAAAGAAGCTTAAAATTACTTTTATAATGAAAAAATCACATAGGCTTTGTTTATTTCTTAACGACTAGCAGTCTACTTAATCAAAGAACATAGGTATATTTAATAAAAAATATTGATTGTCAATTTTTGTGATTTATAAAAAATATAGTTAGTAATAGGTAAGTATTTGAAAATAAAATTTATGTTGTATTAAAAAGTACTTATTTACTTATTTGCTTTCTAATTCTGAATTTTCTTTTTCTGCAACAGAGGCTTCATGGTTTAGATCATGACTGAAAAATTAAACGATTAACGATTAATCTACAAGTGCAGGGTTCTTTAGCTTTTAGTTTCATCTTCTTCTGGGACCTCAGTAAGTCTTGATGGAAATGCACCTGAAATTAATCTAGTTTTTCCTCCGCATCCAGTCTTTGACATAAACATATGCCCAGAAAAATTATTGGAACATAAAACATCACTATTTGAAATGTTGTCTGGAGTAAATTTCAATACGTTTCATCAAATGCGTTTTTCGGCAGGAGTAGTTGGAAAAATTATTGATTTAACTTCTTCAACATTATCATGGTAAAATGAGTCCAAAATCTAAAACAATACATACATAATACAAGTTCTTTAAATTTAATTCACTAAATTTACCATTTATTTTAAATTCATGTTTAACGACCTTTTGCATAAAATGTAGGTACTTATGTTTCTTTTAAAAAAATGGTAGATACGCTAATGGTTACTTACTTGTAAAATGACCTTGACGATGCCTTTTCGTATTTCTATTTAAAACTTACAAAAACTCTCACCATTGTTAAAATTTGTATCACTAAAGTAATAAAATACAAAAAACCACTTATAAACTACAAAAATAAGCTAGAAATTAATGAAAGTCAAAAATCAAATGACAGTTCTGACAATTTCGAACGATTTGACATGCCAAGCAAAACGAAACAGACCAATGGGAATGCCGGACACTATATTTCCCCCCTGTACCAAAACAACGTCCATTTGGACGATGGCTCTAGTAATATATGCTCGAAGATTGCGATCTCCGAAACTGTTAGAGATAGAAAAACGGTTAAATGGGGAGAGTTTTAGACAATTCTGTTTATATTTTAATGCCGTTCAGTTTGAGATTTTTTCTCTTCTGGTGTTTGAGATATTTTAAAAAAACTAAAATGACCCTGTATTTTCTTTATTTATGAAAATTTATAAAATCTGTAAATCTTTCTTGGAGCAACTTTTTACGTAGAAAATGCCTGTCGTCAGATTTTATTTGAAACGTTTCGGTTTCTTGGAACCATCATCAACTATATTATGATTTTGTTTTTAATTTGGCAACGTCGCCCTATTACAAGTGTGGAAAAATACCTTTTGTTGGGTTGTCGTCTATCCGGATAATCTTCCAAATAATTGTTGGCGGCTCTATCCGCATTCCTTCCATTTTTAATGTAAGATATTAACATATCAAACTTCTTTCCGTTCGAGAAATTTTCTGTCATTCTACACACTAGGTCCGAGTAAAAATAAAATGCCTTTAAATAAAAAAAACATCTGATGTGTCCAACACATAACTTTCCTATCTAGTTATTATAGACTTTTTCCGGTTATTTTGTACAACCTATTGCAGCACCTCTATAAATGTTTAAAGGATAAACTATATATATATATATATATATATATATATATATATATATATATATATATATATATATATATATATATATATATATATATTCATTGAAAAGAAAAAAAATAAATTTAAATTTAGCACTCTTCCTCCAATTTTTCCATTACGGTCCATTTTAGAAAAATCATGTATATACAAAAATTATAGGGATCGATATCCTAAACAACTTTTAGTTCAACAATTTTCATTAAAATCAGAATTTTGCACATTTTGTCAAATTTCTCGAATACGGACCATTTCAAGAAATTTTAACATAAAGCAAAAATAGATAATAATATTAGAAGCAACTTTTATTAGAACAATTTTCTTTTCCAAACATAAATAACAGATATATTCCATAAAATTCAAAAACGGCCTCCAATAAAGTACCCCCCGGATGTTTCGACTTTGTCCAAAATCTAATAATTTTACGTCAGGCCGAACCGTTTTTGAGTTTTCTTCAAAATTCGAAATTTACACATTTTCTCAAATATCTCGAATACGGTTCATTTTAGAGAAATTATGTATGGGATTAAAATTATAGAAAATTATATTATAAACAACTTTTATTTAAACAATTTTTATAAAAAATAATTTTTTTACATTTTGTCAAATTTCTCGAATAGAAAAATGTTGTATGGAACAAAAATTACAGATAATAATATTAGAAGTAACTTTTAAGAATTTTCTTCTCCAAACGTAAATAACAGATATATTCTATAAGATTACCACGCACGCACGCACGCACGCACGCACGCACGCACGCACGCACGCACGCACGCACGCACGCACGCACCCACACACACACACACACACACACACACACACACACACACACACACACAGAGACATCATCGCGAAAATAGTCAAAACGGATTCAGGGGACCTCAAAACGTAAAAAGCCGTCGAAAACTCAAGGTCAAAAAAAAATCATGATTCCTATACTTTCCTTATATCTATATCTATGTATACAGATATGAAAGAAAAAAACGTTAACAGTTGTGACAGATTTATTTGTCTTAAATCCAAAGCCTACTATGGTATTAATGTATTGCTAGAAAATGTATAAGTACATCAAATTATTTACTGAGTTTTTGGTTATTCCAAATATTTAAATTATTTTTGGGTCATATTGGGTGTTCTGAAAATAATAATTTGACTTTGTTAACGTATTTTTCAAAAGTTATGCTTTTTTTGACGTTACTTTTTTGTTACATTGTAAGAGTGTGATATTATCATAAACATAAACTTTTATGAGGATATTTTGGTATTTATTGCAGTTTAGAGATTAATTGTAGTAGGTTATGTGCATGTTTTTATTAAACTTTGTTCGACTCCATTTAAGATATAATATCCTAATTGAAAATTCCGTATCTGTATACTTGTATATGTTGCCATCAGCCTAATTGTTTTTCATTCATTATTTTCTTAATTGACTACCTCACTTTATCCATTTTAATGACTTCTAATATTCTCCTGAATATTGTTTTCTGTCTAACAGTCATTTTCCAAATATCATCTCCACATAATAATGTAGGCACAAACCGTCTTATATACTCTTGTCCTCCTACTTCCTTTTTGATTATAAAGGCCTTTTGGTTACGCATTTCCAAATAAATTATTTTATCGCCAATCATTAGACCCACTTAATTTTATCTTCTATGTTTGCTTCCTAATCTATATTTTACAGATACTATTAGAAATAATATATGTATTAGTTATTAGATAGTCTGCATCGAGGAGTAAACCACTGGAAAACATTTGTACACTAGTACACGTTTTGTCCCAAAAAGTACATAAATAGTACGCAAATAGTACGCAAATAGTACGCAAATAGTACGCAAATAGTACGCAAATAGTACGCAAATAGTACGCAAATAGTACGCAAATAGTACGCAAATAGTACGCAAATAGTACGCAAATAGTACGCAAATAGTACGCAAATAGTACGCAAATAGTACGCAAATAGTACGCAAATAGTACACAAATAGTACGCAAATAGTACGCAAATAGTACGCAAATAGTACGCAAATAGTACGCAAATAGTACGCAAATAGTACGCAAATAGTACGCAAATAGTACGCAAATAGTATTCAGATAGTATACAAATAGTACGCAAAATAGTTTACAAGGTATACAAATAATATTGAAATAGTACACACATTGTACTTAAATAGTACAGAAAGAGATGAAATTTAGGTTGATAAGCTAAAAAAAAAAGAAAAAGGTCGTCGCATACCTCTGAGTCTGCATGCATAAAATATTTTATGATTTAATGATTTATATTTCTTAGTTAATTAACCCTTTAAATGTTCTTTTTCAGAAAAAACAAAAACATGTTGCTGTTTGTGATCTCTCTTCTTTCCGCGCAATCCGCTTTAGCTGCCATCGATTCACCAAACGTAGCATTTAAATGGAAACAAGTCGATTTTGACTATCCAACAACTCAAGATAGATGGGATGCAACGAATTCAAAACAGTTCATTCCAGAAAATAATATACCGTTAGGATTAGAAGTTTACGGAGACAGAATATTTATCACGGTGCCAAGATGGAAAGAAGGAGTAGCTGCCTCTTTAGTTTACATAAATAAGACAGGTAAGAGTATTATCATTGATTTCATTGATCTACGTATTACGGAAATATCTAATAGTTTTTCTTCTGTTGCTTACTTCTTTTTGTTTTTATTATATCTGACGAATTTTACTGTAATTCTAAAGAAAACATTTCTAATAAGTGTTCTTATGCATTTTTTAACTTTTTCACACCAAATAAAAAAGATTTGTTTTTCACTTTAAAGATCATAATATTTTGCAAATCCATAAAAAATCGATATACGAATTCATCAAGTTTCAACAAACTGATAAATCACAATGGCATTTTTTGTAAAATGTATACTTTTTATTTAGATCGACAAGATTCGCCGATACTTCACCCATATCCAAACTGGGAAGCCCACAATCAAAATGTACCAGATCCCCAGATCGTCTCACCATTTCGAATGCGTGCTGACAACTGTGGTCGCCTCTGGGTCATGGATACAGGAAAAACCAATATTTTGAATTCATCCTCGCCCGTAGTAAAACCAAAATTGCTAATTTTCAACTTGAATACTGATAAATTGATCCGTTCGTACACAATTCCAGATGACCAGTTGCACGAGGATAACTTTTTTGCCAATATAGCTGTTGAGGAGAGTGATGATTGTGATAATAACTTCGCATACTTGGCAGACTTGGGACAGCCTGCTTTGGTCGTTTACGATTTCAAGAATAACAAATCGTGGATGTTTAAACACCATTATTTCAATATTGATCCTCTTGCTGGAAATATGAAACTAGCTGGGGTAAGATTTTTTTATGATTATTAAATTATTTTTTACAGTATGGGAAACAAAAGATTTCAAACTTTAAGAACCAAAAGGGGCGCAATAACAATATATGACAGGGGTGGATAGTTCAGTGATAAAAATCTGGACTGCCATATCCAAGAGTCCCAAGTTCGAATTCCACCAGTGAGGGCGGGATTTGTGACTTTTTCACGATTACAATACTTCCTTTTTATCGAGGGAAGTAAAAATAACAAAAGATGACTAAGTTATGTTATGTTGATAATGGGGTGTTAATACACTGCGACCTAAAAGATCTATTGTGCCCCCTTCTGTCGCCACTGCACTAAGGAAATGTCTCAATGCCTATAGCGACCCTTCCAATCCTATTTTCTCAAGGAAGTGTAGGATTTGAAGTGGCTTCAAGTTAGGTAAGTCTCCCTCTTCTATTTGATATCCTCCTAGATATAGTGCCCTTGGATTCTGGAGTGCTACACATTCAGTTAGGATGTGAATGGAGGTTTCGTCCTCCTCCTCACAGAATCTGCATTCACTATCCTCTACTACTCTCAGTTTACTTAGGTGTCCTTTTAGTCGGCAGTGCCCGGTAAGGATCCCTGTTACAATACGTAGCCTATTCTTGCTCAGGCAGATGCAGGCTTCCGATCTTTTTTGGTTATATTCACCCAGAAGTATCTTGGCCTGTCTCAGCCCCAAGTGATTGTTCCAATTATCGGTTCTTCTACTACCCAATTCTTTTTTAATCTCTTCTAATATTATGTTACTGCTGATACCGCAGAACGGCTCAGGTCCTACAAAGGGTGTTTGAGCCCCTTTCCTTGCAAGACTATCTGCAATCTCGTTACCCTATACCCCGTTATGTCCCGGGACCCAAGTGAGAGTAACTCTATTTTTCTCGCCTAGCTCATTCAATTGTTCTAGGCATCTCCATACCATTTTTGAGCTGATTACGTAAGAACTCAGCGCTTTGATGGCTGCTTGACTATCGGACATGATGATAATCTCTTGTCTATGATAGTTTCTCTCGATGTTAAACTGGATACACTTCTCGATGGCGTGAATTTCCGCCTGGAAGATGCTTGGGTATTTTCCCAAGCTTTCGGAGTGCTTGGTTCTCGGCCCATACACTCCTATTCCAGTTCCTTCTATGGTTTTGGCACCGTCCGTGTACTACTGAATAGCACGTCTTTCGGTTGCAAGCGCGATGGATTCTTGGCTCCATTCTTTCTTGCAGCCCAGCTCTGTGGTTTTGAAGTTTTTCACAAAACTGTACTTCTTTTGCATTTCATCCTGGGGCATGTCCCAAAGATGACTATGTAATTGTTCAAACGGAGCAAAACAGGTACAGAGCCTTCTACTACAAACAACATATAAATATACTATTTTTTCTAAATAATTAAAATAATAATATCCTTTATATGAACAATGGCGACAACTTTAAAAAAGCTGGTCTTGTCAAATCACAACCAGGATATAAGATGTAGAGAGGACATAACTAGGACATAAAGGTATACAAGGAAATGAAAATTAAAAGGCGGGAGCAGAAGTACCATTCGGATGATTCGAACTAATGATTGGGATGAGCAAATCCTGTGCTCAAAAGGCAGGGAAAAGGTAAATAACCACTAAACACCACATCAATGTCAACGACAAGAGAACACAAGAATTTAGGCTAAACCCAAGCATCGCTGAGGTACTACAGCTCGCAAGTTCGCAAATATCCACTATTGTGGGATTACTAACGGGACACTGCTTGCTTAAATACCCCCTTGTGATGTGATTACATGATGATCCTACCACATGTAGACTCTGAATGGAAGAAAAACACATCTCCTAATACGTTATCTTCGAATACACAGTTCTAGCTACAGTCTAAATAAAATAGGAGTACAGTAAAAGTGGGGATATAACGTCTCAGTTCATATGCGTACTTTGCAAAATAAGTTTCTATGATATAAAATGGTATATACGCACTTCATAGATTAGATTTTGAATAAAAAAAGTTATATTATTTACAAAAAATAAAAATGAACCTTATGCTTCTGACAAAATTGTTGCACTTTAACATTGAACGAATTAAATTTAACCAATAAATAACAAGGAGGATTATATGTTAATGGGATAAAACTTTTTTAATCTCTTCGCATCAAAAGTAACACTTTAGTACCTAAAATAAAAGATTAAAAGAAATAAAAATTTCAAGAACTCTCTTTAAAAGACTCTGTCTTCACTATAACTACTGGTATCATTAGAATTGTCTTTTCTTAGGTTCATTATTATGGGGTCTATTAAGTTTTCCATTGCTATATCCACTTTCCAAAATAAATTTTCCATCTTTTCAATATGATCAATGCATTTTCTCCATTAACATCTGAAACTGCCTTCAATCATAAATTTCGCAAATCAGGTAATTTAAATATTTTATTTTTTCGAGAAACATAACCTTTTAAATGTGGCCTGATCAGTTCAATATGATTTAACTGGTAAGGAGACAATCTGAGAATTTCAATTCCTTTTTCTCGAATTTGTATTTATGTTGCCTTGCTATTAATTAGTATAACTAAAATTTTGCATTTTTATTGGCATTTTTTACAACGCAGACAAGGTGCAAGATGTAACAAAATACCACTCAAAATGTAAAATTTTATTACCCATAATTTTAGGAAGGGTAAAATAATGTAATATTAAATAATTGTATTATCTATTATATCATTAAAACTAATTTATAATAAATTTTCTAAATAAACAATATTTTAATAAAACAACTAAAACTTTCTGTAAACTTGGGTAGGCAACAAAACACATAAAAGAGATCCATCCATATAATCTGAAACATAAAAAAATTCAAAGCAGTATTTTAACTTCATATAATTTTGAATCTATTTTTTCTTTTAGACATTGACATTTTCTCAGTTTTACACTATCATAATATTTTATAATTAATAATGGTAGTCCCTTCATCTTTTTCAATTAGATGTAGTACTTTTAAAAAAACAGTAGCCTGCGGGATCAAGCTTTGAGATCCTTCTTTGATTGGCAAATTTTACTTTGCTGTTTTCTAATTACGAAATAAAGTTTTTTCTTTCTTGGAGTTAACTATTCACTAGTTTGATTTAAAAATCCAAGATCTAATCGTTGTTTTTTAGGTAATAATTATATTTCATTGGATGAAATTTTGATCGAATTTAACTTTCTTTTTACTGGTAATTTGTTTGACGGTATGATAACAATATTACTTTAGTATTAGGTACTCTTTAGTGTTAATTTAGCTTTCAAGGGTATCAAAGGAAAAGCCAATTTACACAGTCTTGTAACCTATAAATGGTTTTTCGCAAGTGGAATGATGAAGTTTATAGGTACGGCATCATTTAGTTCCTTTGTTTAATATCGGAAGGAAATAAAAAAATATGTTCTTAAAATTTACAGCATAAATTGGTCAGTAAATTGTACTATTTACCTTTATACAAACAACGCTATTTCAATTAGATATTATGAATTTATTACGAACAGGACCTGCTAAACACATGTTAAAACACCAAAATATCTTTGCTTAATTTTAAATTTAACATGTTTAACTAAAACTAAAATTAAAGTAAAAGTACTTACCACGTTTTATTCAGCAACCATAACCATATTGTTTTGTTATTGTATCGGTTCAATAGGGCGACAATCCCAAAGTCAGATTTACATTGTACAAATAATTAATCAATTCATGTTTTTCAAATAATTGTAGTATTTATAAAAATATATAATTTTAAAACAATGCTTTCCGTGTGTTACTTTTGTTACTAAGCGAAATATTTGAATTTGAATTATGCAATTATTCAATATACTTTAAATTTAAATATCATTTTGTTGATATAAGGCGCATATGTTATAAAACCCTTTAATTTCAAACACCACAATTATTGATAAACAAGTACTAAAACTGTTTTATTAAGTATTAAATTATTTAAGATACATTATATATTTTCGATATTTATTAATATGCAGGAATATGAATTATTATTGATAAACAAACTAATCAATTTCAAGGCTTAAAAAATACCATTATAAATCTCTTTAAAGGCATGACTAGAAGTAGGTACATTATTTAAATTTTTTTCTTCGCAAATACTAAATGATTAAAAGTAATTATTAAGAACTGGATATTTAACAGATAGAATAAGTAATTTTTTGCAGTGAATTATAAGTATAGATGTTCCAATAAATAATTATGTTTTATATCTATAATTTAAAAACAATCTTTATCTTCTAACTGTAATGCCGTTGGCGACTCCTCTATACAGTGTGTCCGGAATTCGAGTCTATTTTGTTATCTCGCTTAATATAAAATACAGAAGGTCCGTTAAATGGGAAATGTTTTAGAGATTTTAATGCTGATATCGGATCAGTTTTCAAATTTATGAAAAGAAAAAATACTTTACAGTTGGTTATTAAGAGCTATAAAGGTTATTTAACTACCTCTTCAGTCCACCATCGTAGTTACGTAGTTTTGCAATTTTATTTTTTTTTTTACAGTTATCCTTCCAATGGAAAGATGGCATTTTTGGTTTATCACTATCAGACAAAGATGCAGAAGGCTACAGTACCTTATACTTCCATCCAATGACAAGTTTCAATGAATTTAACGTGAGCACTAAAGTTCTAAAAAATGAAACCTTATCCAAAAATCCACAAGAAGCCAAGGACTTCTTCAAATTACTCGGAACCAGAGGACAAAGAAGCCAAAGCGGTGCTTCATTTCTCCATAAGAAAACTGGTGTTTTATTCTATTCTTTGGTGCAGTTAAACGCAGTACTTTGTTGGAGAACGTCTCTTTCAAATTACACCATGGAGTCTCAAGGCAGAGTATTCATGAACGATGAAGTCATGGTATTTCCTAATGACATCAAAGTAGACGCTAATGATATATTATGGGTTTTAACCGATAAACTACCTATTTTCTTGTACGATTACCCGAATTTTCGCGAATATAACTTCCATATTATAAACGCCACTGTTAAGGAAGCCATTAAGGGAACACCTTGTGATACTAAAATACACGTGGATATGAATATTATGAAAAATATCACCGGTGCTGGTGGAGTAATGGTCAGATCTGAAGTTTATTTGTTAAGTCTAATATTTTTGGTTATAGCAGCCGCTGTTTAGAAAGGGTACTTACAAATATTTTTGATAGGAGAGGAAAATCTAAATATTTTTATAGTTCAGGAGCATTAGTAGGTACCCCAATGAAAAATACCAGTTTTAGGTTTGTAATTATTTTGTACAAGTTAATGTTCGCGGGAAATTTGTTCACAACAAGAGTAGTACTAAGTTCTAAGAAATAAAATTGCAATGATAGTTTTGGGATTGTTGGAAACATTTATGTGTTTCTGAAATATGTCAAGTCCGCAAAAAATAGCTTGTACCTGATTAGTTGACAGTTTAGATCTAGACCGACCTAATTTTATTGGAGTAGGTATTCGAATAATATTTTTATGGCTAAAATACTTTCCGATAGTGAGAGAAATTATCTGACTGAAAAATGTATTTATTTATTGAACAATTTTTGTTAATATTATGCTAAATTAGTGATGACATAATTTTGGTTCTACTGACAATTACAGTTTTAAATTTTTTTTGAGTGCATTTTGTTTATCTAAATTGTATTTTTTTGAACTTTTATAAATATGTAAGTAGATCGAATGCTTGATGCATACTCATTTAGTAACCAATTACATACCTTTAAACTACTTTTTATGACCTGCAAATAATATCTAAAACGTATATTCAAATATTGTTTGAAGTATGGTTAGAATTAACTGTCAGTGGAATCAAAATTACATCACATTACATCACATTACATCACACTTTTATGGCGTATAGCTCTTATTTGTCATAGTTATAAACATTATTTAAAAATACCAAAACTATTGACCCACAGAACTGAAATAAGGAGAATGGATTTGACAGTTTAGAAAACTCTGTTGCTAGGTACACGCTAAAGTGTACATAAATCAAAAAAATATATACACGCGAAACGTCATATTGCTGTGGTGGGAGGTGTTTGTGTGAATGCATCTTGTTTGTTTTCATTTACGCCGTGACTAGCAGTAGTATTTTATAAACCTTAAAAGAAAATTTTACATACATGAACAAATAATAATAATGCCGTGACAACAAGAAAACGAAGTAACGACTTCTCGTAGGGTGGCGGCTTCGCCGCCACCAAAAAATTTCAATCCATACCTAGCTACACCAACGGCCTATACACAGCTCACCTACTCTGTCAAGACGTTTCACGTGTACATAACTTTTTGAATTGCGAACAAGTAAGCCTGTACCTAGACACTGTGTTTAGGAAACGATCTTACAAGAGGAATAAAATTGAAACTTGCGCAGTAGGTGTTATCAGGGCCGTACTTGCAAAAATTATATGATAGAATAAATGTTTTTTCTTACCCTTTTTTCTTACGCTTTACTCTATAACTCACACATGGCGACTACCTTCAACTTAAATTAAAATATATGTACAGTGTGTCCCAAAAAGTTTTAAACAAATTATGGATATGAACTGACACATGGGTATCATCGTAAAATGTGTGTGTAACAACAACTGTTTTTTATGGTTAAAGAATAGAATGTCAAGCAATGAACTAGCATTGATATATTGGCAGTTTTCGGAGCTACTGAGATTATAGAAGAGTTTGCCAATGTGATTAGTAATATCCATATTAGACCAACCACACCAAATGTTTTCTTTTCGAAGTTATTTTGGTTGAAATTATTTTCAAGTCGAATCGATAACAAATATTCAACATTTGAAAATATTTATAGGAATCACATGCTGCCATTGTTCTAAACGTTTAGGATCCTATAAAAAATATTTGCAATTAATAAATTGGAGTTACATAAAGAAAAATAATAGTAGTAACTCTTCATCTAACATCAAAAAACATAAAAAAAGCAAATTTTCTTTTCTAGTAAGTTAAATTTAATGTGTAATTATTGTTGTTTGTAAGTCAGGATTTATGACTTTATTATTTAGAAATAAATACATTATTTTACTTATACTAGGAGCTTTAAAAAGACTTGGATTTTTATCTATTTGTGATTTTTTTAATTTTATATCGGATTTATATCCCGTTTTGCAACCCGGAACGAAGTAAATCCTGCTTTAACGTTTTTAGTTACTCATTGTTACTTGTAGTCAGGTTCTTTATTTCAGCTTATTTTTATTCTTTTCACTAAATTTTACAAAAATCACTTTAATTCCCATTGACTTGCATAGAAAATAGACGTCGTTATTTTGCCACCCGCCAACTACAGTAGTTTTTTGGAACTCCATAAAAATAGGGACGGAAATTTGAAATTTGACCAAGGCCGATTCGCCTCCTTATCTCTAGTCTTCATACTTTAGCATGTATGATGATGATTTAAAAATACTCAGTATTATGTCCCAATGACAGAGTTTTACTTCAACATGATTTGGATAGGTTGTCAAATTTATATAGTCGCAAAATAACTTATTTTTAAATACATCTAAATGTAGTTGTATACAATTTTTTTGTTATAATAATATATTAAACAAAGCTTAGGTATACACTCTTAAATTGTATCCTTAACAATGTAGATAATGTTAAAGATATAGGTGTTATGCTGGGCTCTAGATTAATTTTTGTTAAACATAATACAAGATATAGCTAATAAGGCACACAAACAATTAGGTTTTATTTTTCCTGGCACATTTGGCGCCACATTTGTGACAGGCTTCTGGCTTCACCTACTGTAAAGTGTAAATCGTAGGTGGCGCTTAGAGTGGTGAAATTAGAATAAGGGTTGCTCGAACGCCATTTATGACAGGCTTCTGGCTTCACCTACTGTGAAGCAGAAGTCGTGGGTGGCGCTGAGAAAATAAAAAGTAAATTAGCACAGTAAAGTAAATCGTTCTAACTTAGGACTTACTCGAGTTTTTTAGAAGCTTAGTCGAGAGGGTGGTCCTGTGCAACACTTGGTCGACCCTACTACGAAACTTCAGAAGATTTCCTTGCGGTTTGCAAAATAAAAAAAATAGAATAAACGTAAATTATTTTGTTTGTTATTTTAGAAATCTAAGTTCCTTACATCACAAATTCGTAGCGTATTTGTGATTTTACCATTTTTTTTTATATATTTTCGTTTGTATTTTTTTCGTAAACAGTGTCTTGGGTTTTTCCTGTTTACGTCCCAAATAAATACAATAAAAGTTCTAAATTCTAAACATCTCATGTAAAATTGATTTTAAATTAATAAATTCACATATATTTTCAAGTCACTTTGACGAATAGGTACCTACTCAATTTTAAATATCTTTATCGAAACGTAAATTTTAACTCAGAATTGATATCAAATCCATTTTCCTTATTATAGTTCTGTATCTTTACCAGAAGAAACAATATAAAATTATAATTGGCAGCATTCTACTTGTCATTATTCATTTATTTGTGGACATTTTATGTATTCGAACCACATGAAGTATTAAAATATTCGCTTATTAATAAGCTCCTCTACTAATAGAAATGTAAAAATGCTTATTTTACAGGTCTAGCATTACTTTCATATTTTCGAGAAATACTAAGTGCTCAGAAAAGCATGGCTGTGGTTATTAAGAAATTGTAAATTATCTATATTGTTACTAAATACTAGTATTTTTGGCATTGGATAATTGTTTTTATTACTATTTATGGAAAGTTATATAACTCTTCCCGTAGGTGATTAAAGTTGAGGAAATGAAGGGACGAAATATTACTATCATATCATAAATATTTTTCTGCTACCTTTATCAAATTATCAAAAATTAACTACTATTTCTTGATAAAATAATATGGCTATGGAAAACTCTAACATCTGTCATTTCAATGTAGTTAATAGTGTTTAATTCAAATTTAATTTTAGTGCCTATTTAAGGTGTCACTTTTAAGGTTTATCGTGCTATTTTCATAATAATAACTTCTATACTATAATTCACCCTCTTATGAGTGGAATTCTGGAGCACTGAGAGTTGAGGGAATGCTATAATCTACATTTACGTGTCGTTTCGCATTAATACAAGATGATTGATGGTGACAGTTGATTTACAGGTGCAGCTCACCCACCATCAATGACACAATAGTCTACTGACATTCAAATATAATTAGGTGCTAATGAGAAATGAAACTCGTGTATGTGTGGGTAAAGCTTTCGGCACTGAGCAGTGCCTTATTCAGTAGTTTTTTTTTAATTGTAAAATATTATTTTTTTTTTAAATCTCAAAACCGTTCTTTAGTACAACGTTGGGATGTGTCATTATAATTATTAAAATGTTTAAAATCCTTTTCTTTTTGCTGTGATCAAAAATTTTCAAATTTGACTAATAGATTGAAAAATTTCAGAAATTTGAATAAATATTTACAAAGTTTGGTTTTATTCACATAAATTTTTTTTATTGAATTGCAGATTCGGCAAATTTTGACAAAACCATAATTTTTGGTCCTTTACAACCATAATTGACTTCTGGAATGATAAAAAACTAATGGTTACATATTTCTTGAATGATAAGAAATCAAACAGTTACATATATAAAAAGTTTAACGAACAACAAAGAAAAACCAAGTGGGATAGAAATAAATAAAAATAAAAGATAAAGGATAGGAATATCGAGGAAAAATTATAAAAAGAGAAACGAGGAACTATGAGGCAAAAGTGGAAAAAACTAGCAAAATACGCATAAGAACCGTTCCTCCGTTTTTATTTGCTCTATTATCATGCAGGAGGTGAAACGAATGATGTTAATAATATTTTATGAAGATAACTACGGGATATGATATTATGTTTGTTATGTATGAAGTATTAATACACTGCGACCTCAAATATATATTGTGTTCTATTGTAGAAAGGAAATAGTCTCGATGCTTATAACGACCCTTCCAATCCTATCTTTCTTCTCAAGGAAGTGTATGATTTGGAGTAGTTTAAAGTTAAGTAGATCAGCCTTTTCTATTTGATATGATCCCAAGTATATTGCCTATGGATTCTGGAGTGCTACATATTCAGTCAGAATGTGAAAGGAGATTTTGTCCTTTTTATCACAGAATCTGCACTCACTAATTTATTAAGATGTCTTTGAGTCGGCAATGCCCTTTTAAGGATACCTGTTACAATGCGTAGCCTGTTCTTACTCAGACAGACACAGGCTTCCGATCTTTTCTGGTTGTATTCACTCAGAAGTATCTTAGCCTGTCTTAGCCCCAAGAGATTGTTC